TATTATTAATCATGCAATTAACGACACTTGACGCATACCCACATGCTAGTATTTATGAATTCGAGATAAAAGACATCCTTTTTCCTTTAACTAGCAAATAGGCTTGCGCAAATGCAAGGACAACACCATTGTACTTAGTTCATATTTAAAATGCGCAGGCAGCATAGTTCAAGAACACCTTTTCTAAAAAACATAGTTCAAGAACTGAGAAGAAATTTTAATTTCAAGAAATTACTATTTGATCTTAAAGACTACTCCCTCCGTTTCTAAATATTTGTCTTTCTAGAAATTTCAACAAATGACTACATACGGAGGAAAATGAGCGAATCTACACTCTAAAATATGTCTATACACATCTCTAAAAAAACAAATATTTGGAAGCAGAGGGACTAATAATTAACTCAATATCATAATAACCAAGGAAAATACCTCGCACGCTCTCTTTTGCACCTAGGTCTCATTCAATTTTTTAGAAGATAGTCCTTAGACTACAGAAAAATATATATTTTGTCTTGTGCTTACATATACATTGTCGAGAATTTCATATCGGTCACCCGATGTATTAAACCTATTAAGCGTCGCCAGAAGGGCGGCCAACCAGCTATGCCATGTGGCGTAAGTTGGTTGGCCGCAGTGAGAAATCTTTTGAAAAAAAATAGATGGAGGTGAGGAATTTTTTAAATACTTTTTTCCCATTTTAGATGGAGGTGACGACTCATGTACTTTTAAAAAAGTTGAGGGCTATGCTTAGGATTGGGGTCTTGTCCATCACATGATTCTCCTAATAATGTGATCCCGTTATCAATGACATCCAATGTCCATGGTCTGGAAACCACAACCATCTATTGATCAACGAGCTAGTCAACTAGAGGCTTACTAGGGACATATTACGGTCTATTTATTCACACATGTATTACGGTTTCCGGATAATACAATTGTAGCATGAACAATAGACAAGTATCATGAACAAGGAAATATAATAATAACCACTTTATTATTGCCTCTAGGGCATATTTCCAACACATAGTCCATCAAATCTTTTACCCAAAACTTGAAAACTTCACAACACAAAACTCAACAGAAAATCTCCTGAGATCCGTTAGTATAAAAAAATAGATCACCACTTATGATACTGTTGTGAACTCACTCTTTATTTATATTGGTGTAATCTCTATTGTATTCCAACTTCTCCATGGTTCATACCCCCGATACTACCCATAGATTCATCAAAATAAGCAAACAACACAAAGAAAACAGAATCTGTCAAAAACAGAACAGTCTGTAGCAATCTGTAATTCTCGAATACTTCTGTAACTCCACAAATTCTGATAAATGAGGACAACCCGGGTAATTTGTATATTAATCTTCTGCAAAAATAATCAGTATTTTATCACGCTTATGATAAAAATGAGAATTGTTTTCCTGAGCGCAAAAGTTTTTGTTACTATTATCGTTACTTGCTCATTACAAATTATCTTGCTATGAAACTACTCTATTACTTACAATTTCAGCACTTGCAGACATTACCTTGCTGAAAACCACTTGTCATTTCCTTCTGCTTCTCGTTGGGTTCGACACTCTTACATATTGAGAAGGCAACAATTGATCCCCAGTGCGGCCTTCCCGCTACTCGCTGTCAGGGGCCGACTGTGGTCGCTCGCCTGACCGGACAGGCCGCCCGAAGGCGCACCGGTAGTCCGACTCGTGGCGCCAATCCACGCGCCATTCCCCGTCTCCGGAGCGGCGCTGTGGACGCAGCTGGTCCCCCCGTGGATCCCTGCCTGCTGCCGTCGCTCCAGCTTGCGGGGCTACCAGCTGTCATGCAACCAGCCCCAACTCTCGCCATCCAACAACCCCAACACTAGAGGACGGCTGGGTGCAAAGAAGAAGAGGAAAAGCCAGCAATGTGCTGGTGGTTCCGCATCGGCCCCTTCGTCCTCTGTCCCGCTCGCCGCCAATGGGCCGACAGAGGGTGGTGCTCGCAAGGCTGTCCCGTGCTTCAACTGCGGGCTCTGGGGGCACTACCAGGTGTCCTGCCCCAACCCGCGGACGTGCTATCTCTACAAGGACCCCGGCCACCCGGCCGCGCTGTGCCCAGACCGTCCCATGTCAGAGGAGCTCATGATGTATGGGCA